CTTTATCAGAGCCACTGCCCTATAATATGCAGACGGGCCAGCCGAGTGAATCAGAAGAGTCTGGGAACTTTTATGATCTGAACAAAGAAGATAGTTATTTGATGGGAATAGGGGGGGAAAAGCATGTCCTACACACACCTGACTCTCTTCTGCTGACCCTGTATAATTACACACTGGCTCCCAACAATGATAGCTGAAGAAATTTAAAATCTTCAATCTCTGATGGCATTCAATCAGATTAGCCCGAGTCTCACTGGAGGGTTGGTGATGGTTAAGGAAACTATTTAGGCACCTTATCTTAAGATGTAGGATGGGACAATCTCCCCAAAGCTGGGGAGATTAAATCAACTAAGGTTGATTTTTGAGGACTTGGACCCCAAATACTCCCACTCTAAGGTCATTCAATCACCTGGCTGGACTACTACCACCCACAGAAGACAGAAGACTAGGTGGATTTTAAGTTATAATCTAATCAAGGAGGATGATTCCCCCCATCCCCATTCCTGCCCCACCACACAGACATGCATCCACATACTTATAAAGTCATATAGATGCCCAAGCTAATCATTCATGAGTAGCACAGAACGTCAAATGTGCAATGGACCTAGCTTGACTCATAGGCTACCTTTGCTATTTTAATGATAAATAGTGAGCCAGAAAGGGTCAGGGGCTTGCCTAAGGTCACATATCTTGTTAGGGACAGATCCAGGTCTCTGGGCCTCTGTGCAGTACACTGTCTAGTACATCCCAATGAGTAGAAAAGCATAAGAAAAGATGAGCCCCAGGAGGACAGAGTAAAGGAGATGGAGTAAGAACCAAGAGAATCGGGAAGGCTTCATGAGGGAGCTGAGTCCTGAACAAAGTCAGATGGCACTAACATTCTATAAATAGCTCGAGGGTCCTGAGTGTTGGCACATAAGTTCTCAAATTTATTCCTCACAAGGAATCTGTGAAATAACGTTATCCCTTCCCAATGAGAAGAAATTGAGGCTCTGAGTAACTAAGTAGTTTATCCAGGATACACAAACTCCTTGTAATTGAGTCAAGCCCAAGTGAGTTGGGGTCCTGAGCCTGGTTCTTTTCCCATGCATCACTAAGAGCTGGTATTTGACTGACGGGTTGACATGATCAGCGAGTAGCTACTTAAATGAGGGAGTGCTAAGTGGGATTTTACATCTTTATTTGAAACTTCTCAAGAGCTCCAGAAGTTGGGAAGGACTATTAATTTTCTATTGCTGCTGTAACAAGTTACCATAACACTAGCGGCTTAAAATCACAGAAGTATATTATCTTAGAGTTCTGGAAGTCAGAAGTTTGACATAGATCTCTCTGGGCTAATATCAAAATGGGGGAGCCTGAGTGACTGTCAGTTAAGTGTCTGCCTTCAGCTCAGGTCATGATCTCAGGGTTCTGGGATCAAGTCCCACATCAGGCTCCCTGTTCAAGGAGGAGTCTGCTTCTCCCTCTCCCTTGGCCTGTCTCCCCTTGCTTGTGCACTCTTTCTCTGAAATAAATAAATAAAATCTTAATTCTTTTAAAGAAATTAAAAAAATAAATGAAAAATGCCAACAAAGCTATATGTCCTTCTCGAGGTGCCAGGGCACAACCTGTCCACTTGCCATTTGTAGTTTCTGAAGGTTGTCCACATTCTTGGTACCTGGTCTCCATCTTCAAAAGCAACAAAGACCAGTCAAATCTTTCTGTGACCTCACTGTGACACTGGCTCTTCTGTCCCCTTTTCCACATTAAAGGACCCTTGTGGTTCCATTGGACCCACTTCATAGTCATCAGCTCACTGTGAGGCAGAGAGAGAGTCCTTTGACAGAAGTGGAACTCTGACCTCTCCCTAACTGCATCTATCCTCCTCCATGAGAACATGACCTGCTTTCTTCATTGTTCAGCACATCCCTATTTGGTCCCCTTCCTGAGGCTCAGCCAAAGCCACAGAGATGCATGTGGCACAAGCAAGGTCAGCTCATGCATCCTGTTGTAGAAAATTTCTGGAAATCTCAACCAAGCAATCTCTCTCCCTCAACTTTTCACCCACCGCTTTCCTGAATCAGCCTCAGACTCTCCTCTCAGCAGAGCTCTAACAAACATTCCTTCTGTCGGGCTGTCTGTAACACTGGTGCCCACTCTCCTTGCCTGGTAATTCCTACTGTCCAGCAAAACACATCATAGACACTCCTCTCCCAAAAGCCTTCCAGAACCTTCCATCCATCCAAGACTAATCAAGAGACCTTTTTCTGGCACATGCAAGCATATCTCTGTCAATCTTATCTATGAGACTGTTGACCCCTTAAAAGCAGGGTCATGAATGACTGAAAGAATGAATATCCATTCATCTGTTGAAGAGCATCTTGGCTCTTTCCACAGTTTGGTGATTGTGGACATTTTTGCTATGAACATTGGGGTCTTCTTGGCCCTTCTTTTCACTACATCTGTATCTTTGGGGTAAATACCCAGCAGTCCAATTGCAGGGTCTTAGGGTAGCTCTGTTCTTAATATTTTGAGGATGTTGTCAATACATACAATGTACTATTACTCAGCCATCAGAAAGGATGAACACCCAATTTTTGTATCAACATGGATGGGACTGGAGGAGATTATGCTGAGTGAAATAAATCAAACAGAGAAAGTCAATTATCATATGGTTTCACTTACTTGTGGAACATAAGGAATAACATGGAGGATATTAGGAGAAAACAAGGAAAAGTGATTTGGGGGAATTGGAGGGGTAGACAAACCATGAGAGACTATAGACTCTGAGAAACAAACTGAGAGTTTTAGAGAGGAGAGGGGTGAGGGGATGGGTGAGCCTGGTGGTGGGTAATAAGAAGGGCATGTATTGCATGAAACACTGGGTGTGGTACATAAACAATGAATCTTGGAACATTGGGGGGAAAAAAGAATGAATGAATAAACCCAGTGATGGAGAATTTCTTGCCCTCTAGGGCTCCACAGAGTCACCTTGTTTCTTAGACGGTGTTTCACACAAAAAATGGAGATGAAGAGGGAGAGGAGAAATGGAAAGAGAAGAAAAAATAGAAGAAGGAAAAGGAAGAGAGCATCAATCCTCTGTGCACAAGTCCTAAAGATCAAAATGTCACCTGGTCTGTCCTCAGCTCACGTTTTAAAAACTATCTGGAGGAGTAAACATCCAAAAACTGTATAAACCTTTAAATGAACATCTGATTTTAGCAAAATACTTTACTTACGAAATGACCTAGACACACTTCTTCACATTAAGGGGGACTTCATCTTCTTTAAAGTCCCTGAGGTTCAACCAACTGTAGCAAACAAGCACAAGGCCACCCCTTCATGGTGTAGGGGGATTTTTTTCTTTTTATATTTTATTTATTTATTTGTCAGAGAGAGAGAAAGAGAGCACAGGCAGACAGAGGTAGAAGAAGAAGCAGGCTTCCAGCTGAGCAAGGAGCCTGATGTGGGACTTGATCCCAGGACCCCGGGATCATGACCTGAGCCAAAGGCAGATGCTCAACTGACTGAGACACCCAGGTTTCCCAAAGGGCTTCTTTTATTTTTTTAAATGAGAAAAGCAATTTATATGATAGCTATAACATGATTAAATTTATGTAAATATAAATAATCCTTAACATTTAAGAAAAGGGGCTTTGGATGACATTGGACCAGAGGGACTTCAGATATTTTCAGAACATTTCTTCCTAAAGCAACTGATACACATTCTTCTTCAGTGCACATGGAACATTCTTCAGAATAGATTGCATACTGGATCCCAAGCCAGGTCCCAACCAGTACCAAAAGACTGGGATTATCCCCTGCCTATAAGTGGCTTCTTTTATAACAAATGTTTTCCCATCCTCTGATACATGAGATCCTCATCTGCTCCCAATTGTCTCCTACATTCACCTTCTCTATTCCTTAATTAATACATTCACTCCATTAATGGTCATTGATCTTCCACTTACTAGCCCCCTATCTTCTAGGAACGTACAACCTAAGGTAGTAATAAGATCTTGCACATAAGATAACTGGAATTCTTAATAACTATAGTTATTTACTATAGTAAATTTCACATAAACAGCATCAACATTAGATGCTATGGAAATTCAGAAGGAGGTGATTTCTGGTTTAATGTAATCAGCAAAGGCTCATGGAATGTAGACTTGAGTGGAGCCTTGCTTAGGGTTTCACAAGTCACAGAGAGAGAGAAGTCACACAAGACAGAAGTGGCAGCCCACACAGAGTCTCAGAGAAAACTGAATGTGTTTGCTTTGAAACTTTTTCTATCATGCCCCCTGGCTTTTATTGACCTAAGTTTTAAGAAAAGTTTTTCCAGAAGGCAAGGAGGCAAACCAATTTTGTTCCATTCTATTTTCTTGGTCACTGTGAAAACTCTATAACTCCACTTTCAGAAATGTCATAAATCAAAGTGAGAAGATGAAGATTACCTGCCTTCTACCTCCCCTTTTCCTCCACCCTACTTCACAACCTGAGAGTAACAAATGACTCCAATTTCCCTGAAGATTTCTAGGTAGAAAAATCACTCTCTCCAGGTCCTTTGTGTGCTTGGGGCCTTAAGACAAGCCATCTTCCTTGGGTCTGGAAGTGTGACTTTCCAGGCTCAATGAAGAGACATCCAGTGGAAATGTCTGAAATGGGCAATACATGTCCTTGACCCAAACAGACCCCAGGTCTTAAGCATAAAGTGTTCTCATGGGTGAAGACAAGATGAATAAGGTGGATCTTATCTCTCACCACATCCTGAACTGGTTTGGCCAGACAAGGAAGCCGATCCCAGTTTAACAGACTGAGATAACGTTTTATGAACATTCTTTTGTGCTACCTCTAATGAGAGAGATCTGAGAGGAGTCCCTCCCTGCTGAGGTCTGGTGAGGACCCAGCGGCCCAAATGGAGGCTGATTAACAGGCATCCCAAGCAGTGACTCAAACCATGGGCAATTTCAGAGGAAGCTCGTTATAGCAAATCCACAATTAGGACATCAGCCCACGTGGCAAGTCAGTACCTCAGGAGGCAGGACCAGGCACTGTATAAAAGTCCTTACTTTGCTGGGCCCTGCAATCCACATCCTTTTTTGAGTCTTGTTGAAGACAGGTAAGTGGGGACATCTGTGCCCTCTCTCCCTTTCCCTTGCTTCTCTGCCTTCAGGAGGCTATTCTCTTTCTTTGCTAGACTGTACTTTCCACAGATTTTAAGTGGTTTACCATTTCTTGGGCTTCTCACACCATCCTGTGTATTCTGTTCAGTCTCTTGTACCTGATTGTAAAAAATATTAGCCAAACAGATGAGAATGGAAAAATGTATAGGAGAACTGGGTGCCAGGTATGATTGGGCTCTGGGTATTTATACAAGAACTATGAGAATATTCCCACCTAGATCAGTGTCAGAGGGAGCTACAATAGAGATAGAAAAGAGAAAAGAATGAAAAACAGCAAATAAGTTCTTAGGGTTTATAATCATTCATTCCCCATTTCCTTCCATCAAACCATCATCTCTCAGTACCCATCCTGGTACTGCTAGTTAATTTCGAATCTTGTGTTTGTTGCAGGTTCTGTTACCTATCCTAGGATGTCCTTTAATGAGCAGCAGTGCAAGCAGCCATGTGTGCCTCCTCCATGTCTTCAAAAGACCCAAGAGCAGTGCCAGGCAAAGGCTGAGGAAGTGTGCCTCCCCCCATGCCAGGACCCCTGCCAGGAGAGTTGCCCAGCACAAATTCAGGAGGTATGTCTTCCTCAGTGCCAGGAGTTAAACCAAGAGAGTTGCCTACAGCAAAGCCAAGACCAATGCCCACCTCAGTGTGTGGAGCCATGCCAGGAGTTTTCTCAGACAAAATGTGTGGAAGTTTGCCCACAGAAAGTCCAGGAGAAGTGCTTACCCCCCGGCAAGGGAAAGTAGCATCTCATAATGCCATCTGGGGTCAAGAAGAAGATGGCCAACAGATGAAAACCTAACCCAAGCCCCTGCTATGGTAACCTTCACCTATGGGTAACTCTGTGTGCACCTGCTCTTGTCTCCTGGCTTCTTCAGTATTCCAGGACTGGGTCTGTTGTCTCTGAAGACATTTCTCTCTGTATTTCATCAATCTCTGTGAATAAGTACTGTTCTCAGCAGTCTAGCCGAAGGTTTCAACTAGAGGAATAGTGCAGTTGTTCAGCTCCCCATGGGACATGAAATCATCCGGCCCTGAGTGTGTAACAGCCAAGGATGCTTTCATTCATCATTCAGAGCTTCAGCCTCTCACTTGAGCCTCAAAACAAGCTGACATTTAATGGACTTATCACTGATCACCACCACACCACCATGGATACTGAGAAGAGGTTGGTGGTGTTACAGAAATAAAAAATCAGGTCACTTTGTCTACGTATCCTAAAAAGGAACAGCAAATTCTTGGACATTGGAATGTTAGTTATGCTTTTAAAAATGAAACAAAAGTGTATAAATTATTTAATCCAAACAGCCAATAAGGAAAGATGAGATGGGATGCTTGGGGTCCTGTTTGATCTTTGTGTTTGATGGCAGGTCTGCTTTGGGCCCTGTAATTTCTTTACATTATATTTCTTTACATACATTCTTTAGAGATGTGATTTGTGTCTGTGTGGTGAAGGCTGGTCTGCTCTCCAGCTTCATTGCTTTCTTCACCCTGGTGAAGGTCAAATACAGAATAAAGCTGATTCCAAGGCTGATGTCCGACTTGATGTGTGCTCTTTCCTCCCCACTGCCCAACCACAGTTCATCCCTGTGATGATTATGTTTCCCTTTTTTTTTTGGACAATCTGGAGTAGGAATGAAAAACAGACCTCACAGGTGCATAGAACAGCAATGTTGACAGAGGCCTCCTGGAAGATCACACAGATTGTTCCACCCCCACCCACAGTGCATCATGGGCTTACCTATACACACATTTCCCACCTGGGAGAATCCATCAGGGCCTGGGACCTGCCCAGACTCAGAACTTCATATCCAGAATTCTTACCACTATGGCTTCTTTCCCCTCTGATCCTTGCTTTTAGAGGAAAGGGCTCAAATGGGAGGAGGAGAGTTATATGGAAAAAGGGGTCCCCAATGAATCCATGATATCTTACAAGCATAGTGTCCCTGTTAGAAGGAGGAACTAGGCATATTTTTGTGATAAATAGACTAAAGGGCCAAAATTGTCCTGCCATCCCTGACTTCAGGAAAGCCAGTCAACCTAGGTCACCTCCCTACCCTATATCACTCCACTTCCTCTCACTGAAAAGGTCCAGCAGGAGCAAGACTTACTTACATGAAAGAACACATAGCTGCTTCCTCAGTGGTACTCTGAAATCTGACCTGGACCTTTATGTTAAGGCCCGGCCTCCTAAGAGCTAAAGGGGCCCCTCACTCCCCTGGACTCCCCCTTCTGAATCAGCACATATGGGTACGCCCAATAGAGAACAGCTTGACTGACAAGAGGGCCTTGAAGCACTGGAGTCACCCAAGCCTCTTAATCTTAGAGATATTTTAAGCAAGAGAGGAGGGGGCAGGGGGCAACTTGGGGGAAGATTTCCAGCAGCAACACGAAACCCTAAGAACTCACTGACTCTGCAGATGGCAAGCAGGAGCCCAGAACTCTATGCACATTCTCTGAGGGAATTCTGGTATCAGTTCAGGGGGTCCATGTGTTTCCCCTTTATCTTTATTAGGAAACTGGTCTGGCCTCACAAAACATGTATGTGGTGAAGTCAAGATTCTAACTAGAGTCCCTCTTGACCCCAGAACAGAGCTCTTACTTGCATGAGGAAGACCTATGGCACACAGGGAAGATTTCCTGAGCTCTCTTCACATTCATTCATTCATCCACCTACCAAGTACCAGGTGATGTGCCAGATGCTGGACAGACAGTGGTGAGCAGGCAGGCAGCAACCCTATGCAGAGCTATAGAGCTTCTTTCCACAGGCCACATGTGCCTAGGGGCCCTCTCCAAAAGCTGGTCATCCCAAGTCCTTGAACATCTCCAGGTGCCTGAATCACAGTTCTTTTGCTTCCCTGCTTAGTTGGAATAAGTTTCTGACTTTGGAATAAGCTTATGTTCCCCCCGGGGCAGCAACCTGCAAAAAGGCTCCAGAGAGCCCTCTTAGCAGTAGAGCTTTTAACTGGGCTGACCGAGGTTCACAACACTCCTCCAGCCTGGCTCAAGCCCAAGGAATTTCTTTGTTCTCCAGCACTAAAGGCGTGCACAGATTGGAGTCCAAGATGGGACACTCAGACGCTGAGCAGAACTGCAAGGCTGTCAAGCAGAGAGAGTCTAACAACATCAGAGAAAGGACAGCCTGCTGATTATAAGGGAAGCCTCAGGAGATAGGAAAGAGACACACCTACAGATTATAGATGATGGAACAGACGTCAAGGAGCTAGAAGGCCTTCATAAAACTCTGCCATGAGGACCACCACAGCTCCCTCATACTCACAGAGCTCTGACCCAGGCCCTGCCCACCCTGTTGCTCAGGAGATCAGGGCCCTAATGACATGGGCCTAGGACATGGGACAGTTAAGACCCCAGTGTTTATACTAAGCCTTTTAGAAAGAAGGATAGGGACATTACCAAGGGGAGTCTGGATTTAGAAGTTCCAGCTGACAATCCCTAGGATAAAAACAAAACTGGAGCCCATAGTTTGAATATACTCCTAGACCAAATACCCATAGCTGCATAACTGAAATTTACAATTATCCTGATTTCTCCAAAATGTGGACTCTGACCATAAGTGAAGTTAAGTTTCCTCTAGTCAGCATGACCTCACAGCTTCCTGAAGCTATTGGCTACAAACAAGGAATTTTATGCAACACTGTTCCCCTAAAAGGAATATAGACATCTAGTGGTTAATCATCAAAAAAGATCAATGTACTCGAGTTTTATCAACTGAGCTGTAACCCTCATTCTGTGAGCTTCTTGCCACTTTCAGTTTGAAATCTTCCAGTTCTGTGAATTATTCTCTTGTTCCTTTCTCTTAATTTAATTTGATCTCAGTTTTAACTCAGTTAACTCAATATGTGACAAGAGTGGATTTCTGGGCTCCATGTGTCAAGAAGAAATGTGTCAAGAAAACATCGGTAGACATGTATGGAGAATCCACTCTGTGCAAGGCACCCACACCAGGCTCTGAAGACCCAGGTGGAAGGCCAAGTTGTTAGCACAATGGCCTGAAGACTTTCGTAATAGAAACTGTTGAAATATATTTAGACTAGGAAAGAATATACCCAAGGAAGCAGGATAGCTCTTCTCAATATTGGATTTCTGTGAGGTTCCCAAGGACACAGTTGGGACTGATAGATAGAAGTTACTAATTTGGTTCAGTTTAAGAACTTTCTTATGATGAGGTCTGTTTTGCTGGTGACAGGAGCTTCCCTTGGATGTGCCACATTCCCATGAAATGGAGGAATACAAGGAGGGAGTGAGAGGAAATGTAAATGCTAAGCCCCCTTCCAACCTGTCTGGCACTAGGACTCAACTAGTTCATCGAGTTCTCCTTGGCAAAATTGGGACCCAGGGGCAGAGGAGCCTAACAGGACAACAAGACTCAAAAGGCCAGACCCTGAGAAAATTACTCTGGTCTCTAGAACATTGCTGGGAGGCCCTAGGGACCAGCACAGTGTGTTCCATGGCTTGAGACTAGAGGAAAGGAGGAGGTAAGAGACGGGAATTGGCTCCCCCAAATTTAGGTATTTTCTTAATGTGTTTTTGGAGCCCAAGTACTTCATCCCTGAGTGGTACCTTACAGTAAGTAACTCCTCACCAGCTTCCAAATCCAATCTTCCCAGTCCAGGTTTAGAACACCTCTCTTCCCTATATTTCTTGCTTCTTTGCCTTCTGGGCCTCTTTACTCTCCCGGGCCAGAGTGGTCCATCTGTTCCATGTATATGTGCACCTGTTAACCTATCACAGCCTCCTTTCCACCTGCACCTGCCTCCCTCCCACTCACCCAGGATTCTCCCTCTACTGTGTCAGTCAGCCCATGGGTTTCAAACCCATGTCATGTCAAAAGAGCCAGCAGGTACACCTACACAAGTTCTGATACTACCTGTATCTCCTGTTGACATAAGAGCCCTAGATGACAGCCCTTGGGCCTTGCTGTACTCTTTGCCTGTCTTCATGGGGTCAACTACACTGAGGTCTTAGGCACTCTCAGAGTCAGCCAACCAGCATGCCTTCTGAGACAGAGAGGAAAGAGGCTTCTTTTATTGATAGGGTGACCAAATATCCTGGTTTGCCTGGGGCTGAGGGGGGTATCCAGCATGCAGGACGTTTAATGTTAAAATTGGGCTTGTCCCAGGAAAATCAAGACAAGTCGGTCACCCTGACTCTGTACCTACATGTATAGAATGTGATGTTTGGTACTATGGGAACACAGAAGGAAAGCCTGTGAGACTGTCTATGGTGGAGGAATTTGCAACCCAAGGTCAGAATGGGCAGAACTTTCTGAAAAACTGAGTACTCACAAGGCTTAGTGATCACTGCCTGCCCTCCTCCACAACCCCATTCTGGTTGTGCATATGTAGATGTGTTGGGTGAGGGACACTAGATCAACAGGCAGGTCCTCAGGCTAGCCCTGTATAAGCACAAACTGTCTGGTCCTCAATCAGAGAAGTAGTATAGTGGGGGATATCCCCATGTCCTCCCACTCTAACCCCACTGCCATCATTAACCTCAAGATGTCTTGACCAAAGGGCAGCATGACTGGAACTTACCCATTCTTGCTTTATATTCTCTCCCGTGGATATTTTCCTCTCACCTAGAGGTGGCTGGAAGAAGGGGCAGGCTGGCAGGGCTCTGCATCTCCCATACTTCCAACCAGTCTTGTACCAACCAGCCCTCCTTTAAAAGCCCTGGCTATTTTTCTCTTTCCAACAGCACCATCTACTGGCCACAGAAACACTGGGCCTTCTGTGGGCCACACCGAGCCCC